CATTTTTCATTCTTTCACCTTTACCAGTGAAATTATTTCTTGATTTTAAGTGAATAATCCAAATGCAGTGGCATCCAAGGGACTTGTTAGCTTCTGCTATTTCAAGTGCAATATACTCATGTGATGGTTTGGCCATCTTCACTGGATTTTGTGACGGTGCTGTTGGGATCTTTAATGCTGATAATTTAAGCCTTCGATGTCGAATAGCTCCATCCGCTTACATATCTTCACCAATTTCCAGGTATGCAAATTTGGGGGGATTGAATTCACACCAAAATTCTCGGCAATTGTTCTAACGTATGTTTATGCATATTGCCTGCTTTGCATACGAGATTTGTTTTATGGTTATCTGGTAACTAACTACATGTAGGCTGCAATATGGGCTTCTTCGATAAATATTGTACTTTCTACTCAATTCTCCCTACTAGATGTGCTATTATTGTTGTCACCTATGCTCTCTTCTCCTGTTAAAGTTTTACTGAAATTATAGTGTCCCCTTGATTTGTTTGGCCGTAGTTACTTAAATATACCTTTCACTTCTTTCTTAAACTTAGCCAAACATGTTATCAGTGTTTAACTTGTGTAATCGTGCAGTAGCAATGGCAATACCTTCCCCGTGGTGATTGCTGCACATCCATCTGATCCAAACCAGTTTGCCCTCGGCATGAGTGATGGCGCAGTTTATGTGATGGAGCCATCAGATGCAGAGATGAAATGGGGTGGATCGACCTCTCAAGACAATGGGGTTTTACCTTCGATTGCTTCAAGTTCTGCATTGAATAGTCAGCCATCTGAAACACCTTCGAGGTGATTTTGAAGAGTGTCTCAAGAGAGAAACCAAGGTTTAACATACATGTCTTTTATGGCCTATTATTGTAAAGTTTATATAATCTTCTCTCTTTTTCTCCTGCCCTTTTTAGAGTATAATATGAGAGAGGTCTTTGTACATTGTTTGGTTACTTGGGCCATTGCTGCACTTTCATAGTTTATTTTTGACTTCATGCTTCTAATTAAATTTATAGACGCTGCATATTATTCTGCTAATCCTTGAAAGGTACCTTTTATATATATTTTTAGAAAAATACTTTTCTTTTATTCCATTTACTATATTCAAACCTTCAATAATTTATTATTTAGTGTGCAAGTTTATGTTCTAGAGACCATTTCTCACCCAATTTTGCCCAAATATTTATTGTAATCACTCAACTTCAATTTATTACGATTTGATCAATTAAAATTTAATTTTGGTATCAATTAGATGCGTGGACATTGTGAGTAATTCGGTATGATACATTATGTTAAATTAATATTCTCCACGTGACACTTTAGAGGCAACACGTTAAAACATTATTAATAATGAAATGTTATTCATCGGTGATAAAGAATCTGTTTGGGTGGTAATTAAATGTCATTAAATGATAGATTTATTTAAATGTAAAGTCATGATTGATTTAATTCAACTTACAAAAGTGTAACTGTTCGTGTGAAATTCGTAAATGTATAAGATCGTTAACAAGTAATAGATTTAGTGAGATGAGATTATTTCTCCCAAGAAATAAATTTGAATTTGAGTTTATCAGTTATGTATGGAATTTGAATTATATAAAATAAAAGAGATTTAGATTTGATTTTTGCTAAACTAATTTAAGAAATCTATAAAAGTTTGTTTTTTATTAAATTATAGATGATTGTATTAGATTTCAAATCTACCTTTGGTTATTTATTTCAATTCTTGATTTTTAATCTAGTTTTGTTCATATATTCTTGACAATCGATAAAGCTACAATAATAATTTTCTTTTTCAAGATAAATTAAATTTATTCTAACCACAATCTGAATTTATTCCTAGCCTAAATTCAAATGGCTAGAATGCATTAAAGTTTATATTATCTATATGATTGCA